TACCTTGACCCAATCCCCAACCTCGTGGAGCCCTGGAACTTTACTCACCTGGAATTTACCGAAAGAAACACAACACCAAAGCGTGGTGTAATTTACTACTAGCGACCGCCCGCGACTCCGTACCGGCCCTGCCAAGCCAACACACTGTAACTTTTGAAAACCACTTTTGAGATAATTGACAAAATATATTTTTTATTGATTATTCGCCTTTTTAAAGGTTATTGGTCAATATTGTATAATTTAATGCAATCAATAGTAAGATATACATTACTAGTATATGGCCAAGTAGTATTTTTGGCATAATTTTAGTAAGGATGAAAGATATTGCCAAAAACTTGTATTGACAAAACAATTATTATAATTTAATTTGATTCCTAACGAGGCAAAACACTGTAAAACAGAATACAGTGTTAAGTATTGTATGAACGTAGCTAACTCGTTATGCCATTGCACTGTATCGAAGCATAGTATATAAAGATAATAAAACCAATATTTGCTCAACTAATATTTAGTAAAAAAAAAAACAAGTATTTGACTCGATTACAAATCTGAATCAACATTTGTATCGAGATCAGGTGCATTTCATTCCTCAAGAGCTTCATAAAAAGCAGGCAGGCATAGATTTTGTAAGTATTGGCAATTCTGTTTTCTTAAATTCACTCACATATCTTGGCTTACTCTCTGTTTCTATCATATTTATAAGATACTAGCTGACCCAGCGAACTTCGTACCGCCCTAAAAAAATAGGGGTTGTCCAGCGGACAAAATTGTGAATCTAAACCATTCTCAGATCCCCTTGAACACACACAAAAAATTTCATCAAAATCGGTCCAGTCGTTTAAGAGAAGTTCAGTGACATACACACTCACAGAAGAATTATATATATAAAGATAATTCATCATTTATTTTCTTTTTTAAATCTCCTTCAATCTTTTTCTTTAAAAATGTATTTCCTTAAACTCCCCTTTGTTATCTTTTTTGGCAAAAAGAGAAAGTTGCCCTTTTCGAAATTCAATAATATTTTAAATTTTGAATGTTCTAATCTCTAGGAAAAGCTATTTTACAATGGTTTTTAAAATCAGCATATCTTTGTGTTTAAGTACGTCGACATCCAGGTTTTTTCTTGACTGTTTGATGTCACGAAATCCTCCAGATCATAAACTTCACATGCTGTTCTCAGGTTTTTGGTATAGCTTTTTGCATATCGACTGTAAATACAGTTTTTTTTCCTTCAGAATTATCACATAGATATTCTGCTAAATTAAGATGTCTTCGTGAATTACGTTTATTTTCCAAGTGCTGTCCTACGATTATACAATCTTCACAATTACAAGGAAGAGGTAGTTTTTAATGAGTAATTTGATGATTTTTACACTTAGTGCAAATATTTTGAGGTAATTCGGCAATTAATAGATATTTTTTTTATCATAGTATGAAAATGAGTCTAATCACAACATGGTAGATTATTGTCTTGGCAATGCTGCTTAAAGTTCTTATATATAGTGGAGAAATAAATTCCGACTGGCAAATATTTTCTGTTGGGCGGATGGTTAATGTTATAATGTGATGAAATTGGTTTGTATTTTAATACAAATTCTTCTAAACGGTTTTGATACTCTTGGTAGAACTTATAAGGTAGTTCAAATCGCCGTCCTCGAAGATCAGGCGTTGCGTTCACCTTTGGCTTTTATTGTACTCTAAATAGTTAGTTTTCAAGACCAATTGTACAGCTTCGTCATTGGTATAGCCCAAGATCTTTAGAAAAATAAAATATTTAAGTTATGCTTAGAACTAGTATCTGTAATAGATTCTTGGTTGATCTTTGATTGAATCAAAGACACATTTGCATCGTGCGCAATTTGTAAAGAAGACTGAACACTGTCTAGATGAAGATGCAAGGTGGTACTGGATTGCTAAATATCTTCTGTAGAAATATTTGAGACAGTTAATAAAGTCTTGTCGCAAATCAAAGCATGTATCAGTTGAGTGTTAACTCTTTCACCTAATTCTTCTGAAAGGCATTCATCAACTTGAGACTCACTCAGTGGAACAATAGGACTTATAAAGTTCCTTGACTCCAAATTATCAGGAAAGTCATTTTCGTTTTCATTGTGGTTATCGCAGTCTATAAGAAATTTCTTTCACTTTGAATTATCTGAAAAGTAATTTTCATACTCATTGTGATAATTGCAGTCTATATTTTCTTTTCTAGACAAGAAAGAGCGAGATAACAAAATTGTTGTCGACTAAGTTACGCTGGTTGGATAGCATCAACGCGCCTTTACTTGACGGCTCAAAACACTGTATTTATCTAGCAATATGCGTACTTTGTTTAGCCAAAACACTGTATACTTTGTTACAGTTTTTCTGTGTGTTTATACCTTATTTTAAATGCAATACAGTGTTTTTTAAGTGCTTTATCTTGCAAAATAAGGGTCAAATTGAAATGAGAGTTGATTTTATGTAATCAATAGACTCAAATAAATCGATTGGTCATTGTTAAGCAAAAACACTGTAAGTCTACTTACAGTCTTTTGGATTGGCACGGCAGTACGCCTGGAGTTACTTACAAATAAAGGGTCACTGCTCGTTCCCCGTAAGTGATAGCGTGATAATATGTAGCCTATATGTTGACCCGACTTCTTAATAATATTCGTGCCAAATTTGAAGTAAATCCATGCAGTACTTTTTGAGTTTATCCCGGACATACATACAGACAAATAGACAAAATTCTAAAAACTATATTTTGGGCTTCGGTATCGATTGTAATTTACACCCCAAGTATTCTTTTAAAAAATATTCAATGAATGTACCGTTTCGACTTTCCTACCATTTTATTATATGTATAGATGATCTTCAGTAAGGTGGAGATTACTTCTCCAGGCGGGATTCCAGCGGAAAATCCGCTATGCCCTATCTCTCTGTTGTATAGAAGGCAGTGAAATAAAACACTAGGCGGGAATGCAGGTTTATTCAACATCTGACGCTCGCTGTCTTGCTAATCAGCATTCTCATGCATTAATTTAACACCTCGCAAGCTTGAATTTGTTTGTGTTAAGATCAAGTATCGACCACACCTCATTGCTCTACTTTAAGGGAACTGTTTATCATTGACAGTTGTTAATCTAATAAAAAGACCTTGCTTGTTTCCATCCATTTCAATATTACGTTTATCATAATGGTTGTTCATTCAGCATAATAGAAATGTATTTCGGAATTAATTCCTGTTCATTTAGATCTCGTACCTAGTAAGATAAAAGCCGAGTTTTCATTCACAATTATTTTTGATAATATAATAAATCTTAATCAACATAATGCTAATATACATTACCTATCTTTAAGTTAAACGTTTGAAAAATAAAAATATAGTATCAGCTTACTCCCAGTTTACAGAGACTGTCTGGCTTATCTCCCGTATTTAGGTTGTATGCTGCCTTATTTCTTTAGATATACATATATAGGTACTTACTAGGGATGGGCCGAAATTCGGTTCAACCAAACTTCGGCATTCGGCCGTAATTCCGTTCAGATGCCGAACATTCGGCACAGGAAAAATAATACCTACTTGTACTATTGTAACAAATTTTAATAGAATTACAATCTTATAACTGTAAAATAAAATTGTCTTTTACTCATTCATGATCATTTATTTTAGTTAGGTACATTGTAAATGTAAACCTTAAATTAAATCAGTTCTCTTATTAGTCTTGGAAATCTCTGCCTAATAACTTAGTATTCTTTTAACAAACATCTAACAACATTACAATTCGTAAATTGAATAAAAATATCACGTTTTTGGTTCACAAACTAAACATTCATTGTGCAAGTATTTCTTATAACAATTAAATAGTTTTTTTTTTTTTTTCAAAAATCCAATTAAACAAACTTTTCTCATCTATGTACTCACTCATTTTTAATGGTGGTGATGGTGGAAAAACACCAATGACTGCCTTATCTGGCAGAAGTTTGTTACGTTTTATTTCGTATACGTTTCCTGCCTCCGAAAAAAGTCGCTCAGAATATACAGAGCTTCCAGGAGACGATAAATATATGCGAGCCAAATGACTTGTGTTAGGGAACTTGTCTTTATTCTTAGCCCACTAGCCATATGGACATAGCTCTTTCAGTAGCATAACTTATCACTCACGAGAAAGTTCGCGAAATCGAACCGAATTTTGGCCGAACTTTTAATTTTAACCGAATGTTCGGCGGAAATTAGGATTCGGTTCAAACCACATTCGGCCCATCTCTAGTACTTACATACTTTGTATTAACACGTTTGCCATTACTGGGTTAACGTGATTCATATATGCATCTCGAGGTGTTCTTGAGCAATCTATACAACCGGTGGAATTGTAATGATGGTGTATGTATGTGCAGTGTGCAGCATTTGTTGCATACTAATGTGTTCTGCGTTTAATACCTACATAGGCTCATTTTAATTTAAAGACTTTAACGCGAGACCTAATGTTTGGTCGAGCATTTAGAGACTGAATCGGGATGTAACTCTGCATGTCTCTAATTAAGTTAGGGTAATGTCGGAGCTTCATAAAATATTTGAGCGGTATTTAAAAACTTAGATTTGCAACTAGATTCATAGGAAGTCTAGGTTGGCAAATAACTACCCCACCTCATGTTAAGTGGTGGTAAAGTCGCAGACGCGAAGGTAGTTGATGCAAACGTTATAAACTACCACACCAATCATCCTCACCTTGCTGGCCTGCAGAAATTGCTTCTTCACGTCTCTCATAAAGGACTCCAGATTGTAGAAAGAAGGAAATACGTTGCATAATGCAATAATAACAAAATGCAATCAAAAGTTGACCAGTGACAGTTCAACGAATGTTATTAGCGACCATTTGCGTACCCCCAACGCGGCCATCGTACAAAAGCGCTGCAACCATCGCATCAAAGCGCTGCCACCATCGCATCAAAGCGCTGCATCCATCTCATGAAAGCGCTGCAACTATCGGATCTTAACGTTGAATTTTTATTCACAGATGAGAAAGAGAAGTACGACCCGAACGGGTTCCGCGACGCGCTCGTTCAGGGCCTGGAGCGCGCCGGCGGCGACCTCGAGGCGGCCTACAAGTTCCTAGACGGCGCTGGATCCAAGCTCGACTACCGCCGCTATGGGGAGGTCATCTTCGACGTCCTCATCGCCGGGGGGCTGCTGCGTGAGTAAACTTCTTTGGAAAAGCTTCAAATTATCTGGGAAGCTAGGCAGGGGCCGTATTTATAACCCTAGGGTCAAGAGTGGGGCGGCAAAATCCATATAAAGGCATTCGTTACTGAACTATTTTTAGGGGCGCCAGATATCAAAATACGCCCTGAAAAAAGGCCTAGAATACTCGGCTCTCCCGACGTCCTCCTTGCTGAGGGTTTGCTGCATGATTGAAACTTTTATTAGACGCCCCATTCTATCTTGAACTCTTCGCCTTATTTAGTCTACATGCCCAAATAATAAAACAGCTTAGTTTATCAGCTGTGAAATATCCAAATAAACTATCATTATCTGTCCTTCTCAACATTGGTTTCATATTTCCAGTGTTGGAATGGTCATAGTGATATTATACAGTGTAAAATTGCAGTCCTCAACGAGAAATACTATCCTTATTACCACAAAAAAGTTAGACATATTCAACACTAGCTCTGTACCCCGCGGTGTTACTCGCGGTTTACATGGGATATTTTCCTGTAGTAAAACGTCGTAGCCTATGTGTTAATCCAGGGTATCAGATAACTCCACATCAAATTTTATTAAAATCCGTCCAGCAGAATTTGAGAAAATAAATCATACAGAATTTGTCTCAGCAAGGTTAAAAACCGTGTCTACCTTTTTTGTAGTATCATTGTAAGTAATATTATATGATGAAATAATTGGCTAGAGTCCTGAAGCTCATGTTGACAACCTTCGTTCATTACTGATCATTCAAACTCAGTTTCTCTCTTTACCCTTGATTGAACGTGTTTACTCATAAGCATGGTTTTTCAGTCCCAGGTGGGTCGGTTTCGATGGATGGAGAGACCCCCAAGACCAACACCTGCATCTTCGCTGCCAGCGAGGATATGGAGACCATGCGCAACTTTGAACAGGTAAACACACCAGGTTCATGTTTGAAAATTTCGCTGTAACTTGTAAGTGATTTTAATTATGCTGAAAAGTAAGTCAAGACGACCTAAGATAGACAATACTGTAATTATGTATAACAACAATATGTAAAAAAGACAACATCAATAAAGACTTTATAAGCAAATCAAAAAAGAGGATAATTCTAACATTTCTATTGTAATGGTAATTTATGCAACCTTTTCATCTAGAATATCTTACACAATAGTAATGGATTTGTTTGCGAACTGGTGATATTAAAATTTTTCTTATAGTAGAAGATCGGAACCTAAATTGACCTTCACTGAGCTGATAATAGAATGAAACATATTTTATCATGAATTTAGTATATTAGAAAATATATAATAAATGGGTTGCCTTGAAAATCCTGGATACTATTTTTAATTATTTAAATAAAATGATATATTGATGAGGGTAACGTAACTGGCATTAACATATCTGTTTATACCTGGCAACCCAGTAGTTCGCTCAGGTAAATAAATAGACTACCCAACGGCAGCACATTCTATACGTTTTATACTTTAAGTATTTTCAACATTAGACATTTTCTTATTATTTTGATGTTGCAACATTTTTTTTATACAAATCTTTTTTTTAAATACTTATTAAATAGTCTGTCCAGGATTTTTTAGGCAACCCATTTTTTATATGTTTTCTAATATACTGAATTCATGATAAAATATGTTTCATTCTATTATCAGCTCAGTGAAGGTCAATTTAGGTTCGGATCTTACACTATTAAGTTCACTCTCGTCCATAATCGAGTAGTATTATCGTAACATCCTGGCAAGCTTTGCAATGGAACATTGTGCTTTTTTGCGCCGACCTTCAAGGCTACACAATTGTTCTTCAATTCCACGAAAATTTCCGTCTTGTTGATTTTCTTTACCTACCATCTATAAATGAATCTGAAGGCAATTGTGAGCCTTACGAAGAATACGACATGACAGTGAATAGCAGTTTTCTATCCTTGCGTTTTGCAATAAAGAACGCGCTCCACTAACTCGTTGTGTAAGCAAAGTTTAATATTACTAGCGGCCGCCCGCAACTTTTTCCGCGTTAACCATTTTCCGGTATAAAATCCAAGTCATAAACTATATGCGTACCGAAATTCATCCAAATGCGTTCAGTAGTTTTTTTGTGATTAAGCAACGACATTCACATTTATAATATGTAGTTTGTATTTATACTGTATTTACACAGCAATCAAAATGTGATTGGATGTTGTGTTGGTAGCGACATGATTTTTTTGTAAATGTTGCTACATCTGTTAAAGGCTGATGAGTTTCTTGCGCCCATTCTTCTCATCACCAGAAGATGTCCTGATACTACACTACACTACATGGGTGGTAGGAAAAAATATTGGACGGTTCAATATAGCTAATATACCTGTGATGACATACGGAGCAGAGACGTGGACACTAACGGTACGGCTGGTCCACAGGTTCAAAGTCGCTCAGCGCGCTATGGAAAGGGCTATGCTCGGCGTTTCTCTGAAGGATCGCATCAGAAATGAGATAATCCAACAGAGAACCAGAGTTATCGACATAGCCCACCGGATTAGCAAGTTGAAGTGGCAGTGGGCTGGCCATATTTGTCGAAGAACCGATAACCTTTGGGGTAGACGAGTTCTGGAGTGGAGACCGCGTCTAGGCAAACGTAGTGTAGGACGTCCTCAGGCACGATGGAGTGACGATTTGCGTAAGGTGGCTGGCAGGAGCTGGATGCGAGTAGCCCAAGATCGATCTGAGTGGCGTGCATTTGGAGAGGCCTATGTCCAGAAGTGTACTAAGATAGGCTGTTGATGAATATAGCTTGCAATAAGTCAATTTGAATAAAGTACAATTTAATTCATTTCATTTCATAAAATTAGTATGATTTTGTAACGCGCGACCATTCAGCTTGCTATATCAGTGCAAAATTGATTATCAGTTATTATAATGATGAAAAACATGGCTAGAGTCCTGAACATTTATGTGGATAAACACACTCGTTCAATTTCTTCTGATGTTTTGCATGCGCACAGTTCTTCAGTCTGAAGTAGGAAACGTTCACTACACACAAGGTTGTTTGTTTGTTTGCAGGTGTTTGTGAAGCTTATGCGCCGATACAAATACCTCGAGAAGATGTTCGAGGAGGAAATGAAAAAGGTAAGTTTTTTTTTCGACCTATTTCTTACCAGCGACTTTTGTCCTGATTTTTTTATGCTAAAAGGGTGGTAATCCAGATTATGGTCCGCCTGATTTTAAGCAGCCACCATAGCCTTTAGACACTTGCAATTAGGGTTACCATCCGTCCGGATTAGTCTGGACTTGACTTTATTCTGGACTTTGTCCGGATCGTTAAACAGTATGGATTTTTTTAAATTACATTGAATACGAATAATAAAAGTACATTTTGTTTTAAATACCATACCATTGTAACTAAGCGAGCAATGGTACCATTTTGTGACTAAAAACTTCTGGACTTTTTTCGAAATGTCAGTATTTTTGTCAGGACTTCAGACAATACATAAAAAATATCACTCTCGTTTATGCCTAAAGCGTGGCTTGTAATATAGGATATACCTGGGGGCCAATTGCCTAACGGGATTGCTGTGGCTATCTCTAACGCTTACGATTTCATGTTGTTATTTCTGACAGCCGAAAGTTTTTAAATACCTCACGATAATTTTCTTTACTATTGTTATTACCAATGTAAAAGAAAATAAAGAGCGCGAGACATTTGAAAATCTCCGGCGGTGAGAAATACCAGAATGAAATCGTAAGCGATAGCCATAGCGATCCCGTTAGGCGAGCGACAGGATCCTCGCCCTTAAAATCAATATTAGATATAGGTAGCTTCATAGATAAGTTGAAGACAAAAAAGTATAATAATAAGTTGTGCTTGTTTCCAGGTGCTCGTTTACCTGAAAGGATTCGAGCCTCAACAACGCATCAAACTGGCTCGTATGACTGCGCTGTGGATTGGTAAGTACTTCTTTACTAAGTTGCCTTTTAATAATAATTCAATAAGCTTAACTCTGTCATTAGATTGCGCATAAATGGCGAGCACGTAAGGATTACTTTGTTGGTAATTAACTATTTACGGCAGTATGTATACTGGGGATCTAATCTCTTTTTTCGAAACGAACTTTCGGTAACGAACTTCAAACGAAATTTAATTTCGTCAATTTAAGGTTATACTTAATTTGAACGATAAACTATCAAATTTAATCTTTCATTGAGTAGGCTTAGAAAATCTACAACTCAATCTATATTCCGACGACGAATATTATGATTAAAAACTAACCAGAAACATAGTTAGAAAAGTGTGAAGTTTCGATCGAAAATTCGTTTTTTGTTGAATTAGAAGCCTGGTTTATCTGTTGCCTCAGAAGATTTCTTTTGATAGAATGACAAAGAAACATTATTTTATTGTGTTTATATCTTACCGATCAATCTTATCAAGTGATGTTTATATTACTAAATTACTGAAACTAAACTTTTATTTCAAATGTACTCAGCTCATAGATTTTTCGCAGAATATTTGTGATCATTATCAAACAAAAGAAAATAAAAGACTTCATTGCAATTCTAGGTGAAATAATTTACAGTTTGAATTGAAGAAGATTGGAAAGTTGCTTGTGTAACGGTGACTTGTATTAACGGTACAACACCACTATGAGTCACCCTCAAACACACGCTGTCTGACGTTTTGTAGTTTGTCAATGTTGGATGCCATTAATGTCGCACAGTAATTAGTAGAGATGGGCCAAATATACTATTTGCTGACTAATCGGTTTTCAAATTGCCGACTATTCTAATACAGTGAAACCTGGTTAAGTGGGACCTAGGTAAGTGAGAAACCTCTATTATTGAGAGTTGCCATGAGGTCCCGGTTCTTTTTCATTAAATTACCTCTGTTAATGGGAACCTGGTTAAATTAGATTTGAATTCTAAGACTCTTTCGATGTTTACCTCTATAATTGAGACTCTGTAGCTCAATTACCTGTATAAGTGGGACTAATTAATCAGGTTGTAACACGTTTTGACATGTTTGTTTACATACATTTCGCGTCGTCTTTCGCGCATGCTTTGTTTGTCAGTACTCTAAAAATGGAATAACGGCACATTTCGACCTCTGTAAGCCTCCTAAATCTTGGAGACTCTGTAAATGAGACAACTATAATTTTAAACCTGTTTAATTGGAAAACTGGATTATTGGATACCCTCAATAATATTGGTACATATATCTTGGTCCCTTGAGATCCCAATTAACCAGGTTTCACTGTACATATCTTCAAGATGTGTTCGGAATAATTCGTCACGCACGACACGAGTCATTCCGCGCCTGCTGATCGAACTGAACTTGTGACTATATTTTGTTTACCTACATTTTCGTTTCAACTGTTCGTTGTTTGCTGCTCCGTTATAATCTACTTCTTAGTCGCTATCTTCATTGTTGAAGGTCGTGTCTAACTTGAATTGTTGACCACCTGATGTACTATGCTTCTCCACGTATTCCTGTGTCCTCGGCAGTCTTTATAGCCTTGGTTATTGATAGGCCAGTGAGCGACTTTACTAGGTCTGACCAGCGGGTAGGTGACCGACCGCGTGATCTTCTCCCGTCGACCTGGCCAACCACCATTAGCTTCTCTAGGCTGTCAGGGTTTCTACGAGCGATTGAGATAAAATTTGTATTTTTTTCTGGGCTGTGTTACATAGGTGTATTGTATACTCTGGGTACTGAAATTAAAACACAAGCATAAATTGTTTATTTCATTTATTATGGAAAGATTATAATCGGCATGTTTTGCTGAATAGTCGCCGACTACAAACGATGCCGAAGAGTCTTCTTTCCCGACTAGTCGACAGCTAGTCAGCCCATCACTAGTAATTAGTAAATAAAGCGGGAAATCCGGTCAACGCAGTGTTATTGTGCTATCTAGCATGATCTTCAAGTTTTGTTTGTATACACTCTCAATTTAGGTTTCAAACCTTGGGACTGTGCTATGTTGATCTAAATAAAAAGTTATAAAAATGCAAATGTAACCTAGATAAATTATTAATAACTTCAAAAGGGTGGAGGTTCTCAATTTTTTCAGTATATTTTGACATGCAGTCCTAGAAGTGCCAGTTTTATAAAAGATTCTTAATAACTTTAATATGTAAGTTGTCCACTTAATTTAATAATAAATTTTCGACCTTTTATTGGTAGGCGAATCAGACATTATTTTTCATACACTCCCCTACTTCTACTCTTTGTATATTAAAATAATTTCATTATGGCCGCCGCTTTAAGCTGGCGCCCTAGCAGAGCTTTGAAGATTAGGAAACCACACGGAGGAAAAACAAAGAGGAGGTGTGGTGATTAAATTTCCTCAAGAAACGACGCGTGATAATTTGCGGGATGCGGGGTGTTCAGCTCCGCCCACTTCTCAATATTTCATCTATCGGCTAATAGCAAAACTACTAGCTTAGGTTGATATTTATGTTACTACGTAGTAGTTCAGCTATCTAACACTAGATGTCAAAAGTTTTGTATATAATGGGAGGTACTCAGAACTTGAAGCTTCAAAAAAATGAAATATGTAGGTAAATAAATAAAATAAACGTTAACAAATTTGACCGATTTTAAAATTTTTAAGGTATAAATTTTATTATTTTAAAACATGTAACTGCTTGATGAAAAAAAATCCAGGCAGACCAGGCAGCAGACGGGACTCGAACCCGCACCCGCTCCCGTCTGCTGCCTGGTCCGCGTGGATATTTTTCTAGTTATATTTTCTTTAGATTTAAATTTTAAGGTAGTTTAAAAATAATAGACAAAATGTTATTACAAACATAATTTTATTAAAAAACATCAATTACCTGTAAATAATAGTTTTGGTTAGTTGTTGTCGGTTGGTTGCCCTATCGTTTTGTATTGTGGCAAAATGCTTAAAACGAATATCAATATATTTTTCTGCAATCGATTTCATCAGAAATACAACATGATTAACTGTAGGTGATTGGTCAAACATATGGTTGGCCGATTTTTTGAAACAATCTTGTCCAATAAGTGATTTTAATGTATTCGATACAATTTTATGTTTACGAAAGTTAGGAGTATTCAAAGATTGCGATTTAACACAACGAATACTGCCTTCGGTCCGTATACATATTTTTATGACATCTCTAGATGGGAAAGTAAGACCACCCTTATTTTTAGTTTTTATCAAATCAAGGTCACTATCGTCGTAGTTATCAGCATATAATTCTTTGAGACAGCTCTCACATTTGATCTTGGAATGTAAAATTTGACCACATACCCAGAAATATATGCTACTATTTGACGGCGCAAATAGTCACCTATAGTTGTATTTAATTGTTCATCAAATTCCAATAACATATCGTCAGGCATAGGCTCGACATCCGTGCTATCCGAAGACTCGAAACTCATTTTATTTAAAATGCGATAACGTTCTGATGTAATATTAACTTTTTGCACAGAAGATTCATTTAAAATGGAAATATTTTCTTCTTCTATGGTGTCCAATCCGGTCTATTAAGTTTTGAAATCCATTGCTGTTTTAAATTATCGTTGGATGGAAATCTAAAACGAACATAAAAATAATTAAAATTTATTTACTTGGTAAAATAATTTAATACGTATTACGGCCCTGGATATTTGTAACGTTTAAAAAGTTATTCTATATGACGACAGATGGCGGCCAGTTAGTTATATATTGATAAAATTACTGTTTTAGATACTAAAAGTTATTTAGGAATAAGTGTATAACAGTTTTCAGTATTTACGTATGATTATTACAATATACTACTGCAAAATTGTACGTAAACTTGTGTATTTTCTTCCTAAAAGTGTCGCCATCTGGTGTCAAGTAGTAGAATTTTAACGCTGATAGCTGAGGCTGAGAATGTTCTAGAACTTATATATTTAATTACGTATAAAATTACTTACAAATGAAATGTGATGCCATCCATATTATCAGAACGTCTGTCTGAGTAACTTTGACATAGTAAAACACAAAACTTCATCCTTTTCTTGTTAAAAACGCAAAAAAACACTTATAATGCGAGTCTCGTTAAGTGCGCACCTGACGAACGCTGAAAGCATACTGACTTAGGCCCCGCCCACAATGATGACGTCAGGACCTAATTGAAAATCACAGTGCACAGTTGCTTAGGCCAGCTCCTCTTTGTTTTTCCTCCGTGGGAAACCATAACACATTATATAATAACTAGCAAACCAGCACCAAAACCTGATTTAAAAAAAAAATACATGTATTTAATTAATTGAGAACTTCGGAGATTTTGTGGTTTCGTTTGAAATTCGTGATTTCTCGAAAACCGGAAGTGCAACGTTACTCAAATCCGGTTTGTAGTCTTATCAGACTATTCTTAACTTATGACTTTAATATTCTCTTTATCTATCTCTTACGGTTTGGCCGCTGAAACAGCACCACAGACGGACGGACGGACTTGTCTAATAGATAAGAGATAAATAAAGATACACTAAGTATATTTTAGATTATTTACCACCACCATTTATTTACCCGAAGCAATGGTAGATATTGTAATACAAGGACGTTTTTAAAGCGCTTTTTATAAGCCTCCCTTGGTCGCCCGTGACTTCGTCCGCGTTGACATAGGTTTTTCGTGAATCCCACAGGAATATAACATTATTCTGGAATTAAAATTAACCTATGTTAAAGCCTTTGCAATCTAGGTCATAAAAAAATTATCCAAATCTGTTTTTTAGTTTTTACGTCATTGAGTAACATTCCTAAAAAAATCACATTAATAATATTACTAGCAGTGCCCCGCGGTTTATTAGGAATATTTTCCCGCAGTAAAACGTAGCTTATGTGTTAATCCAGGGTGTTTGCTAACTCCATACCAAAATCTAGGAAATCGCTCCAGCCGTTTAGATGTGAAGAAGTAACAAATATACACACTTTCTTTATAATATTAGTGTGATTAATATTTGCAAAAGAAATATGGTTTTTATGACTAATACTTTTATCCCTTAAAAAGTAGTTAACTCATATAAAGTTGGTAGGAAAACTAGTTGCACACCATTAGAGCCAGTTTGCGTCTGTGCGCTCCCTGGTGTCGGCGTAGTGCGATATCGACGCGCGGATCGTCCTCGGCCGATGTGATATATACGTCGACTGATCACACTTTGGATGCGCTACAGAATTATTATGTTTGGAGTGAATTTCATATCCTGTCGAGCCACAAAAATAATTTTAAATTGATAGAAACAGTCTCATGGCTTTTATAATGGAATGAATTACAATGCAATCTTTATAGGATGATTAGGTGGTTATGGAATAGTGGTCGTGATTGCATTTCTTTCAAAATAAATTTTGGAAAATCCTATAATTTCAATAACTTTAGTTAGAGTATGTCCTTTAACTTACAGTTGATTCACCGGTCCTTAAACTGTCTACACGCTGTCGTTATGTTTAGATTTTTCTATTAGTACTTATTAAATAGTTTTTTGTTTTATAATAATTTGCGTTTTATTTATATTTACGTTTGAAAAGAATAATTACGTTGACTTTATTACTTACTTAACAATAAAACTGATACGCTGTCGTTATGTTTAGATTTTTGTATTAATACTTATTAAATAGTTTTTTTTTTATAATAGTTTGCGTTTTATTTATATTTACGCTTGAAAAGAATAATTACTTTAACTATATCACTTACTTAACAATAAAACTGGGTAATAATTAATTCAAATAATGAATTGGAAACAAAATTTAAACATCTCGAAATATGCAGACATACTTCATGTATGAAACTCGGGCATTCCACAAAATAATAAAGCTTCAATTCCCCATTATACCTTGCTACAAAAAAAATATTTATATGAGTATTTATGTGTTAGAGATGTCTTTATCTAAAACTGAACGCCGCTCGACATTTTCATGGTACTTTTATGAGTGATCGAAGTGTGCTGCCACGTGAGGGTGTATTCCGAAATATACATCAGTATACTGGCCAGTGGTAATGACGTCACGAAACCGACGCCATATTGTACTGGTATGCTACCATATTTTATCGGGAAAACGGATATGACGTATGACCGAGCGTGCATGAGATACATGCGAATTTTATTTCTTTTTTATTTAAATATAAAATAATAATGGTATCCGAACAAAAAGAATTCCTTTTAATTAACGAGGTGAATAAAAACTCTTCTTTATTCGCACTATTTTTAACATTTCGTCGATTTATGCCGTCAGTGCACTGGAAAATATATTTTGGAACAATGCACCAGTATAGCGTTGATTCACGACGTCATTAGCACTGGCCAGTATACTGGTATATATTACGGAATACACCCTGAATCAACTGAATGACTCTAATTTGAGTGTGTTGCATCTGTACACTGATTGTGCACAGGGGCGTTTCAGTTTTAGATTAGACGATCCCTTGTACCGCATCACAGTGTTTTATGGAACCAAAAAAAATTTACATGTTCAGGTTTTTACATAAATAGATTATTTATACCCTAAAAAAGGCATGAGTTCAATTCCCAGAAGTCTAACTCAAATACTTTTTGAGAAAAAAAATCATGAACTTATCGTGACCTTTGACCTATGAAATCTAGAATATTTTTTTATAAAGTGAATATTAACAATATATTTTTTTAATAAATATGTGTCAATCTGGCATAATCAGAGGCGTATAAACGCGTTTCTTTAGCTTAAAAAAATGCATTGGTTTGGGAGCAGCAATTTTTTTTTTTGTATTTCGTATTTATTGTTTTTTCTCCCTAAAAACGAAAAAGTGGAACCTAGAACTTCGATAGAAATAAACCTATGGATGTGGTCTTTCATACATAAATAAGCCACGTGTCACTTTTGCGGCGATTAGAAGATATTCATTTTTAAATTTTTATGCTAGGGTTGACACCGAGCCTGACCTCGAACGAAAATTTTTAAAATATAAATTTGTGTATTAGTTTTGAACGAGTTTACAATAATGTAGATTTTAGGAACTTACTACAGTACCTTTAACATATTTTTATGGGCTCCAAGCTCTATTTGCAAAAAAGGAACGCTTATGGTGATTCCCAGTCAAGGCGGAAGTCATTATAATGAATATCGATTTTCGTTTTCGGGTCTGAGTATTAACTATTAATTGTTTGTTTTGTGTGTGTTTTGGAGACCCAATTAGACACAAGTTCATGCCTGCTTACCTCTACGTTTTTTTTTGTAACAATAATAGTTACACCTACTAACTGATTTATGCCCAAGATTTGTTTTTATTTTCTGATCGAATGCCTGAATGATTCTGAATGAATTTTGAAATTTTTTTTCAAGCAACATAGTTCATTTTTTCGTTACCGCTTAGCGTGTAAGGTACAAAGTTAAAATGTGGTCGAACAAACATAAAGTATTCCTACATTATCACATCTACATTAGGTAGGTACCTAGTATATGTAAGTATATTATATTCGTCCACAAGTGTTGTTAATTTATTCAATTGATTGACGGTATTAATTAACAAACAAAAAATCATTTTCATTTAACTCATAGTTGACCTTTGTGACAATCCTAGATCATGAAAGTTGACCTTTATCTAAATTCTGTCATAACTTCTTAAAACCGCAAAAGTGAAACCTGATTTTTTTATGGGTGATAGAACTTGGCTTATAAAACCTTTCTGTACTAAATCCAGGTTCCACTTTTGCCGATATTTGGAGAAAAAAAATAAAAATCGAAATTAAATAAAATAATATTTCTCGGAAACTAGGACACTTATAAATAAAATAAAATTGCAAAATTATGCCTTCAATAATTCCTTATCAAGTGGCAAATATCTCATGTACAGATATGGAACCGTCTTTTGAGGAAATTAAATTGTTAATTTTTTAATGCTCAAATTTCAAAAACTTTGCTACTTCATATCTTTTTTTTTACCGGAAATAGTGATCTGAGAATTGAACTCTTGCCTTTATTAGGGTATAAATAATTGATTTATGCAAAAATCTTAAGGTGCAAATTTTTTTGGTTCCATAAAACACTGTGCGCATACCGTACGTATCCTTGATGAAAGTAGAATCTCTTATCTATTAGACAAGTCCGTCCGTCTGTCTGTCTGTGGTGCTGTTTCAGCGGCCAAACCGTAAGAGATAGATAAAGAGAATATTTAAGTTATAAGTTAAGAATAGTCTTGACTACAAACCGGATTTGAGTAACGTAGCACTTCCGGTTTTCGAGAAATCACGAATTTCAAACTAAACCATACAAAATCTCCGAAGTTCTCAATTAATTCAATACATTTTTTTTTAAAATCAGGTTTTGGTGAACATTTGGTTCACTGGTTTGCTAGTCATTTATTAATTATATTGTGTGGTACAGGCAACGGCTGCGTACCGCCGTCAGTGGTGCTGGTGCTAACCAACGAGCACCTGGTCAAAGATGGCCTGGCGCTGGACTTTGTTCTGGAGGTGTTCGCCACGCTGAAGGCCGAGCGCGGGGTCACGTCCCTCGTCACCGCGCTCAAGAAGGGCCAGCTGGAGGGCAGGTGAGATGTGTTTACCTTTTTGAAGTTATACTTCTTTAGCCGCGTTATGAAAAAATTATGAGAGTGAAATTTTCATCACTTAACACAAAATTTTAACATAATGAAGTTAGCCGCGGGCGTGTTATTTGTAATATTTTATTTTCCAAGTGACCGTGGGGTAGATTTGAACAAAGCAAACGGCAGATTTGAACGGGCAGATTTGAAATGAAATGAAATGAAATTTTAAACGATGCCAAAGAAGGATAACTTCTCACGCGCCTACATAAGTACACGCACCTATTTTTTTTTTATGTGTAACTTCTATCCTTTCGCTTTTGTGCAATTTGTGGGAGTGATTACGTGAAGTGGGACGGAAGTGTGTAACAGGAAGATTGGGAAGCGCGCGCTATTTGATTTGATTTTAGAACATAATGCTCAAATGGCTTATTTTTTTTTTTATTCGGTAATAGGTAAGCGCTTGACCATAATTCGCCTGATGGAAAGCAATATTATGGTCTAAGATGGAGCGCGCTTACCTAATAAAAACCGGTTCACTCTTGCTTTGAGGACCGCTAGATTGTAGTGCTCGGGGAACAAGGGCTCAGGCAAGGAATTCCACTGTTTTTTTATTCCTTTTGTAGTAGGTTTTAGTTCTTTTTTTTTAACTTGTATAAGGTGAGGTTTCGAATGTTACACATCATACGCGACTACTAGAAGGCTGGCAAAACTTCTATTTACAAATGTTGGCGCCCTTAAGAAGGGAGGTTGTTTGTTGATTTTCATACATTAAATAAGAATTTACTCATTCTATGCTTCTATGTCGTCCTTGTTTCGATAATTTTTGTTTCAAGCCTTCAAAAATGTTAAAATAACAATTTTTTATCAACACAGAATACATTGTTTTAAACTTTCATGGTCACTAAAATCGCTAAAAACAAGGTACATGGTAACAATCCCGTAAATAACTTATATTACTATAACACTGAATACGTCTAGTGTGGAGATTTAATTAGCATTTACAAAAAAGCAAAACATAGAAGCGTACTTTAACTACTTAGTGAATTTTCTTTTACATAAATCTGATTTTCGAGGAGGAAATCTTCGAGAGCCGATTGTCGAATTTTGCATTTTTACACGCACGGTATTTGCTGAAGCGTGACAGCAATAGTTTTTAAAAACACCTATTTCTCAAATGTCTGTCAGCTCACGCCCGCTCTTAAGGGGCACACCAACTTACGAACCTCACACTTAGCCTCTCGCAAGTCTCACGTGTGCGAAACGAATAAAGCGTTTAAAAGTCCGCGTAGCTTACGAGCGCTTACGGCATACTATCTGTTAAAAAACCCTGCTGTTAAGTGCCGAACTGCGAGATCCCCGTTCATTGAGGGACTTCACCACGTCGAGATGTGCTTACCTATACTGTATTGACGCTATCAGCAAAGTCATCTTCTAGCGCAGAGTCAAGAAGGGCCAGCTGTAGGGTATGTAAGATGTGCTTACCTAGGTGATCATGTGGGACCCATACCGCATGCATGTGCATATACATATTTCATTTACTAGCTATAAGAGAAAGAAAATGTGCGCGCGTACTGCTTTCTCTTGCTTATATCCCTCACTCAACTCCCGTTCGCCTTGCCCGAACACACTTTTCGTAACGCACTGCGTGATCGCCGAAAAATCTGTGACATTACTTTTCTTTATAAAATACTGAACTCTCTTATAGATTCGTCTGCTGTCTTTCAACTATATGCGTGCCAAATTTTATCCAAATTCGTTCAGTAGTTGGTTGCGTGATTGATTTCGCATTTATAATATTAGTTAAGCTTCCAACAATCACTAGGCAATTCACCCTCTTGAGGCTTCTTGACTTGCGTCACCTGATTGTGACGTTTGTAGTAAACCCGCCCGCTTGTGCGTTTACAGCCTACGTCACGAACTGGGGTCGGCGGTTATTAACGCCACGTATATATTTATAGCCAGAGATTCTATTTACGTGCGAGTTACGATGCGTTGCGTAAAGAAAATTGGCACTACTAGAGATATTGTTGATATTTTGAATCGCCTACTATGTAGTAGTTAGTATTGTTTACATAATAATATATGTATTTGTGAAAACGTGTGTTAGTAAACTATTTTGGTGTAAGATAGTTGTTTATCTTATCTAGTTATTTACGATCGCAATTTCTAAATTCACCGTTTAGTATATTCATCATCATCAGCCTATTAATGTCCCCTATGGATGGAATAGGGAGATTGGGCCATGACCCACCACGCGGGCCCAGTGCGGATTGGCGTGTGCTAACGACTGCAAATGCAGCCGGAACCACGGAGCACGGAGGAACTCGAAATAGAAGATTTTCGGTCACCAATCCAATGACCGACCACTGCGAAAGTCGATTTACTTCAACGATCGCAGCCGAAAGCGCTAACCACCCGCGCCATCGAGCTCTTCATATTAACGATACTTAACTTTAAAGTATGATTGCTACATTTTCAATTAATAAGTATTATTATTAATAAAAAAGGATTCTGGGTTCCCCTACTAATTTTTATGCGGATTTTCGTGTGAAAACTCGTGTCGTTGTGGGGGTAAATAGACGCTGCATGTACTGGCCCTATCGCACTGTTGCGTCAGGGACATTAATGTTGCTACATGTAATAATTTAATATGTTTTATTAAAGTTGTATTATTTAGTTTTTTTAGCAAAAGGCTATGATGGTTGTAAGACATTGTATATTCATACTACCAATGTAACTCTTTTACTTTTTCTGGCCTGAACCACAGAAATTATACAAAACAAAGAAGCAGCTTCGAGTGAAAATGACAATAAGAAACACATAGATGTTTTAGTGGCTTTCAGTTCAACATAGGAGAGATTTTTTAATAAAATATTTGTTTTTGTAATAATACAAATTGTATTTTTACTTTTGTCACTGAGTATGTACATATTAAAGGTTACATCCTTGTTTTCTGTTGGATATGAATATACATAATTTTAAGTATTTTTAATTTTGTCACCTCAAATATAAAAAATAAATAAATTTATATAAAACTGAAACGCTGCTAACTTCACTATTGCCATGAAGTATGAATTGCGCTGTACTTCACCATGTTGTTGCTCAATCGAAAAATCTACTATGGTTGTTATCTCTGTCTTTTTAATACATGGTGGGGTGTCATTGCAGATTGTTGGAGTTTTTGCCTCTGAACAGACGAAGTGAGGAGGTGTTGGCAGCCTCGTTCGCCTCCCGAGACCTCGCTGAGTTACTGCGTTTACACCGAGCACAGGCTTCTCAGGTGATTTATTACTTGAAGACATGAATAAGAGTGATTGATTGATTTAAGCAGATCAGGACACAAAACTTCATTATTTACTAGTGGCTGCCCGCCACTTAGTACGCGTGGAGTTAGTTAGAAATAAAGGTTCACTGCTCGTTCCCCGTAGGTGATAGCGTGATAATATGTAGCTTTATGTTGAACTGACTTCTTAATAATATTCGTGCCAAATTTGAAGTAAATCCTTCATCCATTCCTTTGAGTTTATCCCGGACATGCATACAGACAGTTGGACAAAAATTCTAAAAACTATATTTTTGGTATTCTTCTAAAAAGTATTCAATGTACAATTTTGACTTTCCTACCATTTTATTATATGTATAGATTTTCTAAATCATAAGCAAATCTAGTATTGTTCAACGATTCTTCAGGGTGAGTTCTTCATACCAAAGAAAGCCAGTTGCATATTGTAAGGAACCCAGTGATGTATACCTGATGCTTTATAAGCTAGATGTCTTGTGAAGGTATGTTGAATGCTTTCAATTCTCTGTGATGTATTATCATACACAGGGTTCCATGCAACAAGACTTTTATAAAGGATTATCCTGGTTTCGTGTCGTTAGAAGCGAATTTTATTTGGGCAGATTTTTTAACAATTCTATCAAGTATCGGTTGATGTTATAATAATAAAACAAGCTTTCAAATTATTAATGTTTCATCGTTACCGGAAATAGACTATCACTTTTGAACAGTCTCTTTTTATTCATAATTCAACAGGAGGCACGACGTGAACTAACTCAGGCATTGCTGGATGAGTTGGCTGACGACAAACCTGTGCGAGACCTCATCCAGGAGCTGAGGGACATGGCGCTAAAACACTCCATACCCGAGCACGAAGTGGTCGCCATCGTAAGTATATTATACTCCAAAACACGGGAATCGTATCAATGATGTCAATTCTGGTATGATTCTCTAAAATTAAAACTAAATTTGACATCAGTCTCTCCTTTTCATTCTGTATAAAGAATGATAAGGATACACCGTTATCAAATTTAAGTTTAGGTTTAGAGAACGTGTCAGAATCGATACCATTATGTATGTATATAATTTTGCTTTACAGAAAATTTCTAAAATGAACAAGTTTTTCGGAAAAAAAGAACTGATTATCGATAGATAGATAGTTACGATACCATTGCTATTTTTTAAATTATAATTATCGATAGATTTATCGATATTGTGTGTGAAATTTTTCTTAAGTTTTCTGAACTATCGATAGTCTTATGTTACGTGACTATATCGTTTCATAATCACTATATGGGTAGCTATATCCATTGTATGTCTCATATCGATAGTATGAATTGCAAAAAAAAATCAAATAATACAGATTACTGATATTGCCTGCTTTGAGAAAACACTGGTTCATGCAAAAAGGAATTGAAATCCACTTGTAGCAAAGAAGAAAGTCCGATGAAATCTAGCCGACTGATAAAAGTTGTATTTTAATATCATTAAAATTTTCCACTCCAAATGATTAATTAACATTTTAATTCACAAATGTCCAGTTAAAATGATGATACCTGATGACGAGTCGTAGTATGGCAGCGACACGTAGCAAACTTGCGAGGCTGAGTCTTTCAGCTGACCGAGACTGTTGCGTTGTTACCGTTACACAATGACGATGTGGCAATCTGATTGACTGGATATAAAGATACTAGCTGAGCCAGCGAACTTCGTATCGCCATAAAAATATGGGTTGTATGTATTTTTGTATGATGTATCATAAAAAAATAAGAACTAAAATTTTTGTGAAAATTTATAATTAATGGTGGACCACCCTTAACATTTAGGGTGATGAAAAATAAATGTTGTCCGATTCTCAGACCTACTGAATATGCATATAAAATTTCACGAAAATCGGTCGAGCCGTTTCGGAGGAGTTCCATTACGCACGCAGTGACCTGAAAATTTTATATATTAGATGATATGAAAGGCACATTAGCCAAAAAAATATAGATATGAGTGAGATGGAAGTGTTGATAAGAGGAGTCTGGTGTTGTATCAGGCGACTGCAGTAGCCTAGTTAAACTGCAAAAATTAATTAAGCTTTAGTATCCGATTATTATGAAACTATATATTAATAAAATTAAATTAAAAAAAAACATCCTTTGGGTCTGTGGAATCTTTGAGCAAGAAGTATTGGATTGTAACTACAAGAAATTTAAGAAATACTGGTTTAGAAAAAATGGGTTAATTTTTAATTAATAAACACCTCTGTATACTTGAAGTTTAGTTTGCATTAGTTGTAGTAATAAATGTGTAACTACTAAATTGAGCAGTTTTTGTAGTTATTTTTGATGTGATCATATTGTCTTTACTTAGCACAATAAAAATAGATCTGTAGTTCTCAGAACAGTCACACAATTACAGTAGAATCCGTTTATTATGACTCCGCCTTTATTGACCAACCGCCTATTATGACGTAATTAAACAACGAAGTTTGGTTTTCATATAAAATTCATTGTAACAATGTCGGATATAATGACTTCGCTTACAGTGACTTGTCGCTTATTATGACCCATTTTTAATCAATTTTGTGCGTTTATAGTGACCGACATGGTACTTTACACCTACGGTAATGTTCGTTGATTCAAATTGAACATCAAGCATTGTTTTTAGTGATATGCTATGTAAAAAAATGTCGTCTCAACGTCGTAAAGCATTTACGACTGAGGAAAAAGGTGCAATAATATGCTGATTAGAAAATGGAGAATCAAACTCATCTCACAATCTTTTTTCACAAAAATGCTTTGTATGACGTCCGCTTAGTATGACGTGTTTGTCGATTCCCTTCCAAATCATAATAAACTGATTGTACTGAATAATACTATATTTGTGACTGCCTTAATTTGCTAATACGGCAGAGAATGAGTATAATCTCTAGTTTAGTTATTCATGCGCTAAAACTTTTAATCTATATATATAAAAATGAAACCCGTTTTCCGTTGTCACGACATAACATGAAAACGGCTTGACCGATTTGGCTGATTTTTTTTTTGTAGTTTTCTAATACTCTGTACAAGGTTCTTACGGAAAAAAATATAAAGAAAATCTCTCAGAAAGATTGAAAAATATAACGTAACGAATGTCAACGTCATTCAATTTAAAACACAAAATCTGTGGTAATCTGTGACACCACATCGATAACCGCGCTGACAAATGTCAACGTCATTCAATTGAAAACAAAAAACTAGCTATACAAAATAAAGTATTGCATCAAAGCTACGCTAAGGCGAGCTAGTAATAATATAAAAATATACGTTTCCTCGTAGATCTGGCAGTGCGTTATGTCCCGTGGCGAATGGAACAAGAAGGAAGAGTTGCTAGCCGAACAGGCTGCCAAGCATCTGCGGCACTATACTCCTCTATTAGCCGCCTTCGCTCAAAACGCCAAGGCAGAGATCGCACTACTGTCCAAGGTAAACTATAACTAAAATATTATTAAAATAGTCAAAATAAGTAAGGACTGAGGTTTTGTTTTGAGCCTCGATGACACCGGGCGATGTTGGCGTGCAGGGGCGTTGCAAGACAAATTGTAGGAAGGCCAAGGGGGAAGATCTTCCTCCGAGCTGGGTGATGTTAGCTCGGGGGCCGCGGCCCGACTGATGTTGGTCGGGCATCGTATATATGAAGAGTTAGCCTCCGAATTTCATTTGCGCGATGTAGGCTTCCATACTATTATGATCGCCGTGCAGGTAACGCCATCTCTTGAGGATGCTGAGTAATGATTTCCTTCATCCGTTGTATATCTGCGGGGCATATAGATGTCGCCGCCACAAAAGGACTTCTCTAATGGGAAGCCCGAAGACAATAGTAGAGAAATGCAGTAACATTCGGGGACTGCTGAGCTTTCTGCAGGAGCTGGGATGGCAGGACTGATGCCAATCCCCACGCAAAATAGGCACTGGGTGTCGAGTTGCGGAAACAGCCCGCCGTTCTACTAAGACTAAGACACCGGGCGAGATTACAAGCTTACAAGCCAGCGAGTTCGCTAGCAGCTTGTCAACTCGCCCCGTGTCATCGGCTTTTTTACCATTTGCTACTCGAAAGATACAGGGTGAGTTCGCAAGCTGCTAGCTGCTTTAGAAATTTAAGTATCAATAATAACCAATATTTACCTGCGCTGCCTTGCAGCTTAAGGCTAGGAAAATTTCGACGCGGCGAATAGGGCCGTGGTAGCATAATGGTCAAGTGCATTCGCCCGGATAGCGAAGGGTGCGGGTTCGAGTCCCGTCCGCTGCCTGTTCCGCGTGGATTTTTTTCTAGTAAACTTTTCTTTAGATTTAAACATCTAGCAGTTAAATGCTTAAAAATAAATAAAAACATAACAATATTTACCTTCTAAGTTAGAGATAATAATAAGTGAGGAATGACAAAAGTGCATTCGTGCAAAACGCCAAGGCAGAGATGGTACTGCTAATCAAGTTTTTTTTTAAATCTACAGACATGTAGACATATGCAACAGATATATAGACCAGCCTTGCATTCACGAGAGATTATCCCTGGTGTACTATGAAAGTCATTGGTTTTTACAACTATATATCAAAAGACAAGATAAAATTGTGACATAATGATTACTGACGACCTCCGAGGCCGAGTAGTATATAACTATATACGCCGGCTTTCAATGTGACGCCTACTCGAGAGGTTCCGAGTTCGTATCCCGGTGGGGCAAATGATTGTATGATAAATACGAGCATTTGTATCTAAGTCATGGATGCATAAATTTTATATGTATATCTAGTTCAATATACTTTTATATGTATTAGTATAATGTATTCTATCCATTACCCTAGTATCCCATAACACAACCTTTTACAGTGCTTATTTTAGGGCTAGGCTAAAGTGGTGTGTTTTAAAAATCTCTTATCTATTAGACAAGTCCGTCCGTCCGTCTGTCTGTGGTGCTGTTTCAGTGGCCAAACCGTAAGAGATAGATAAAGAGAATATTTAAGTTATAAGTTAAGAATAGTCTGATAAGACTACAAACCGGATTTGAGTAACGTAGCACTTCCGGTTTTCGAGAAATCACGAATTTCAAACGAAACCACACAAAATCTTCGAAGTTCTCAATTAATGAAATACATTTTTTTTAAATCAGGTTTTGGTGAACATGTGGTTCACTGGTTTGCTAGTTATTATTATTTTAGTGAACATTTGGCACATAATTAGAACCGGGTAGCGTGTGCAGCGCCACACGGTGTCGAAATGTGCGACAGTAAAGTGACGGTCGAGACACTGGCCGGCGAATATCGACGGCTGGTATACGACTACCACGACACATACGCAATATTTATTAATAGGGCATTTGACAAGTTTTAGAAAACGATCTCGCGTTATTGACTAATGTTTATGAAGCCCATAAAAAGTGGATATTCATCATTCTGTTGTGTATTTCAGTAAAAATAACCAAATTAAAAACTCCATTTTCAAGTTGCCGCGAAAACGTTTTTCTGGACAATATGGCGTCTTACTAGTGTGTGACGTCACACGACTGTTATTAAAATGTCAAACGATACAATGTAATGTCACTTTAACCGGAAGTTTACTTGCGTGTGACATTTTAGGCTCCGCCAATCCCAAGCGTTTTGGGTCACGTGACAATAGATAAGAAAACTTATTTTTTTCGTGGGTTTTTAGTAAAATTCGGAATATTTTTCTAAAAATAGTAAAAACCCCTGCCAATATTCATTCTAAACACAGATGATAACAATTGGCACTTTATTTTAAATACTGTCAAATACCCTATTGTGTAAACAATATACTAATTATGATTTGATTGAGTTTACCCATTCTTTTGGGGAATGTGTCGTAACCTGCTAACAAACAATCATCGTGCGCATCCGTAATAATCTTACGCATACGCACCGAGACACAAAGAATGACATTTCGCGAGTGTAAGATACAAGATTCATGTGTTTTGTTTTGCGTGTCACGCACAAGTATATAAAACCTGGTCTGCTTTATCGCAGTGTTTTACTAAGTGACGCTCTATCTAGAGAGTAAATAACCAATGGTTGCAACGAAATTCGATTGACGTGCATTATGATCCCGGTATGGTAGCATATTCTAAATTTGACGAGAAAGTTTGTATAAGATTCTTCATATAACCACACAACCGATATCCCGGGTTCGAATCCCGGCGGGAGCAGATGTTTGTGTGATGAATACGAGCATTTGTATTCCAGTCATGAATGTTTAATATGTATTTATTACATAAATATCAGTATATGTATTTTATCCATTACCCTAGCATCCCATAACGCAAGCCTACTGCGTACTTTGGGGCTAGGCTAATTGGTGTGAGTGTTGGACATATTTATTTATTGATAGTGTATGTTGACAGGTGCAAGAATACTGCTACGAGAACATGAGCTTCATGAAGGCGTTCAGCAAGCTGGTGCTGATGCTGTACAAGACGAACGTCCTCTCTGAGGAGGTGATCCTCAAGTGGTACCGCGACCCCAACTCCAGCAAGGGCAAGATGATGTTCCTCGACCAGATGAAGAAGTTCGTCGAGTGGCTGCAGAGCGCTGAAGAGGGTCAGACTTTTTTATTTATTTGCTACCATGTACAAAAGTTAAAAGATGTCACATCTATTCTTAGATATAGTACATGACCCTGTAAGGGTATTGCAAAATTAAGTTGATAAAATTATATAATACTAAAAATGTATTCATAAACAAGTATAAGATTGAATTTAATGCATATTTCATTATTATTGACATTTCTATAAGAATCTCGGTCATAACATTATGTCAGTATATTAAATTATTGTAATGAAATAGTGAATACTTTAGATTATTTTACTATCTAACTATTTTTTACTATCATCATCACAGAACACAGGAAGAGAAGGGTGATCGTAAACCGTTTGTACGGGAACCGATGTCGCCGTTTCGTCCCCACTACTCTTTCAGCTAATAGATAATAGCCAATCAAATGACGCGACATCAAACAATCGAACTAATCAGCTCTCACACCCGAGAGCAACGACGCAATAAGAACCAAGTTTTGAGCATTTGCTCACACAACTGGCGCGTCTGCTCACAAGGCCCTTCTAACCTCTATCTGTGTTCTGTGATCATCATCATTAAATGTTCCCAATGCTGGGGCACATGTCTTTTGCCTATACAGGGTGTTATACAAATAAAGCTTGAAGGGCGTTGAAGTACATCATATAAGGAGTCTTCTCTAAAATTCTTAAAATATTTGCATGAAGTTTTAACTTTTTTATAAAAACAGTTCTTTTTAATGATCCTCGAACTAATGTCGTGTTTTTGATCGATATTTGTATTAAAAATAACTGATTTTATAAAAAGTAAGTTTTAACATGTTACATTTAGTTTTGAGTTCAGAGAATCATGTCAGAATCGATACCTTAGTATAATATTGATTATAAAATGATCTTTAGAGAAAACAAACTTTGTAAGAACCTAATGGACTGTACTTACAATCTTTAAATAATTTTCACTTCAATTCATAAAATGTTGCATGCAGTCTTACATTACAATATGTAAGACATGACTGTGACATGATCGAACACATTTTGTACCATATTTTTATGCAATAGATTTTTATCATTATGGATGAAATAGGATAAAGCCGTGAGACACCAAGCGGGCACAGTGCAAATTGGTGGATGCTAATGACTGCAAGAACCAACGACTTAACGTGCTTTCCAAAGCACAGTGGAGCTCGAGATAATCCGCCTTATCCTAAAGTTAGTCTTGGTTTAAAAACCTAATTTTGTTCAAGCTCCTTTTTAGGGAACAAAGGTGACAGTTTTAGTCTGTTTAACTTCGACAGCATCAGTTTTAGTCTATGTTTAACTTTGGTCTACGTTTTGTAATAAGGCAGAAGAAGTTTTTGGTCACCCATCCAATGAATTTTCGATAAATATTGTATACTTTTCCTATACTTTTTTTAGCTCTTAACTACTGGACTTACTTAAAAAATAGCCTGATTCTGCCTTCATCATCAGCCTCTTAATGTCCCCACTGTTGGGGCACAGGCCTTCCCTATGGATGGAATAGGGAGATGGGGCCATGACCCACCACGCGAGCCCACTGCGGATTGGCGGGTGCTAACGACTGCAGGTGCAACCGGGACCAACGGCTTAACGTGCCTTCTGAAGCACGGAGGAACTCGAGATAGAATTTTCTGGTCACCCATCCAATGACCGACCACTGCGAAAGTTGCTTAACTGCAACGATCGCAGCCGAACGCGCTAACCACCTGCGCCATCGAGCTCCTCATTCTGCCTTCACCTACAGCTATCCTCGCGACTGGACTCCATTTACACTTAAAACCACCTCAAATTATGCGGGTGGAAACCCTGAAGAGATGCTCTAATAACTAGTACATCGAAAATTATCTGCTGTATTAACTTTTTTGGCAAATGTTTTCTGTTTATCAATTCCGTGTACATAGTTATTTGCTACAGAAAACACTTTTTTAATTAAATTTGTTTGTATGGTTACAGAATCTGAAAGCGGTGAAGACGAAGATTAGATTAAGAGCAGTGAGTGAGACTGACACAGTGACGCCTCCCCCCTTTCCCCCTCACGCAACCAATAATATAATAATAAATGGATAAATAATAATAATAATTGTAATGATTGTTAACAAGAGTGCACGCGCGACACTGTATGGGAGATGTTTTCTACAACTGTATATTATTCATTTCTAAAAGTAACATGTTGATGAAATACAATATTTTTTATTCAATTTTTTTAGGAAAATTCCAATAAATGGTGGTAACACGCAATTGTTTTTTGTTTTATTTGTCTTCTTTTAGAACTTGTGTGATGGAATGACGAATGCTGTGTATTTAGTAGCTTCATTTCTGATGCCTACGGCTGCCGAAACGACCGATTCGTAAAAAGTCTTATCAAACAAAATGGCAGATTCTCAATAAAGCATAATTACAATCGACTTACATGGAAATTAAGAGTAACGCCGGCGACATCTAAATTCGACCTGTCTATACCAATTTTATAAACGCGAAAATGTGTGGCTTTGAACTCTTCACGCTAAAATTGCTGAGCCCGAAACTAGCGCCACCGTTATTGCGCAGAAGTAAAAATTAAGATGTCTTGGGGGGGGAAACGAGGTGCGCCGATTGGCTCTCCAGTACCCTTAGTACGAGTTTTACAATTGCGAAAACTGATAGTTTACGTGAGCTCGTACTAAGGGTAATGATTTTATTGTTTTCGTTTCAATACAAATAAACAGTGTTTAAATACTATCATTAAATCATTTGCGTCTTCTTAAATTTTAAGTAGGGGTAACCACCCAATCATTGGCACTCTTCCTATTATTGGCACATCGGGAGTTTAATTCGAAAAAACAAGAAGATAATAGAATATTCAAGGGCGTTACATATTAAAAAGAAAAACCTAGTATGGTTTCGTAATTTGAAAATTGGCAGCATTATTCCTATAATCTATTGTTTCCTGGTTTTTTCGAAATAAACTAAAAAGTGCCAATGATTGGGTAGTTTCCCCTGTATTTGGTTATTTTTCACCAGAATGGACATAGAAACATAATTTACAATTACGAAAACTATGATAGTACGAGTTTGAGCTCACGAAAACTAAGGGTACTGTCGTACCTATGCGCAGCTATCCCCTCTGCGTTTTGGTCAGCGCTAGATTTACGTGCCACGGCCAGGGGGCCATTCGCCTAACGGGGTTGTTTTGGAAAACGCTATCGCTTAAGATTTAATTTTGATATTTCTGACCGCCGAAGGTTTTCAAATACCTGACGCTCATTTTCTTTAATGATATTACCAATGCAAAAGAAAAAAAGAGATCGCAAAGTATTTGAAAACCTCAGGCGGCCAGAAATAGCAAAATGAAATCGTAAGCGTTAGCGTTTTCCAAAGCAATCACGTAAGGCGAATGGCCCCCTGTACCATGAATACAGTAGGTATGTACAGCTTGGGTACAATTGCTTTGTGGTAAAGATTGTCTGTGTATAACTTGAATTCTTTAGAGTTATATTATTTTACATAGGTTCTCATTTATAATGTCTAGTACCGACATTGTTCGTTTGCAATTTGCAAACATGACATCGGTCTGTCCGCTCACCTTATAAAACTTAGTAAGGGTAGTTGATAAGTTCACAAATAGCGAATACGAAAAGTCAAGGAAGTGTGGGCATAATAATTAATCGAATTCTAGGTAGTAGTTGCAACGCAGGCCGATAGATGGCGTTGCTGTCGTGAAATTGTTTTACAGCAACAACGGTTGCATGTTTTTCTTTTAATATTGATTATAGAGAGAAGTAGAAGCGGATTTTCAAACTTAAGTTGGAGTAGTACCTGAGGCCGAAGCCCGAACTTTGACAGCGCCGTAATCGTATCGCATCGTTTAAGTTTCTAAGAAAACTAAGCAGCTACCTACTGGTGCTTGGCCCTCTTGTTTCTGTCTGTAAGGTATAAGTCGCGGCACGAAACTAGCACTGACCGTTATTGCGTAGAAGTAAAAATTAAGATGTGTTGGGGGGAAACGAAGTGCGCGGGCGGGCGTGCGTTGCGCCGATTACGCCACTTCCATAGTAAACTTACGAATTAGAATTACATAAAACCTACTACTTACGCCAAAATAATTATCGTATATTAATTTGGTAAGTTTAACATAAAATGCAGATTCAAACAATCCGACTTTTGGAACCGTCTTTGATAAAATTGTGTGACTTTTAACTGGTGTTTTTACTAAAAAAGCAGATTCGTAAGTTTGCCGTAGATGTGACGATTGGATCTCCAGTCGTGCCCATGCGCAGCTATACCCTTCGCGTTTTGTTCAGCGTTAGAGTTACGTACCGCGACCTGTAATGCTAATGGTCGTTTCATACTAGCGCAGAGTAGAAGCCATCGAAGCAAATTTCAGGAGTAATGGCTCCTACACACAGTGTCTGGCAGCCTTGCCCCGGTGCACATTGTGGTTTAAAATCCGCCGGCTGTACAGAAGTGCGGCATGTTCGGGTTGCATTTCAGTGATGCTCAACGGCTACGTCCAAGTTTCTGCGGCAATAGCCGGCGGAACGTACCGCTCGGCAATTGCCGGTGGCTAGTGCCGCCGGCATTGTGTGTAGGAGCCATAACAACAAAGCACGGTTACCATTATATCTGCAATGTAATATCCGTCCATATTCGGAAGGAATATGTGCATTACGTAGCGGAGATAAGGCTGAATT